CAATATGTTGACTGTCTGACTTTTGTTACCTTTTTATGTCACAACTCTTGCGACGCAGCATTTTTAAGACCCTCGTGACCATTCCATTTTGTGACCTTTGTGACTTCTTGATTTTACCAGTCTTGTGACCCTTACGTTATGTGTCACTTATATTGTGTGACCATCGAGACCATTCCATTGTGTGGCCCTTATTACTGTTTCATTGCGCGACCCTTGTGACCCTTATATTATGTGACTTGTGTCACCCTTCTACCTTTAGACCTTCGTGACCTTTCTAATGTGTGACTTTTGTTCCCCTCTTACCCTGAGACCTTCATGGTTTTTCCCGTTCAGATCGTTAAAGTTTCTGAATTGACCCACCGTTATGACTGTTATGACTGCCCATTTGGCCCTCAACTTACTGCCCGACCTCACCATATTGTACTTCTCATTACAGGGTAATGTGTGCATGCTAGTGATATGTGCATGTAGTATTGAGACACTCTGTATATGGCGTGCACTTCTATTTTTTTTGCGGTGTATTGATACCCGGAATTGTCATTCAAAATTGAAACTCCAAAAATCCGCCTTAATCTGTAGGCGGACTCAGGATACTTGAATATTCATAAATATTGAGGTACAGTGATTAATCATTTGCCCGTACATAAACGCATAAATGTGGACAAACATTTTCTGTATTATGGATTCCAGAAATTGCCTCAGAATGTAAATCGTCAAATTTCATCTATTCATTTCCTTTAAACACATATGCATTGCAATGGCCAATTGCAGACGGAGTGATGATTGTTGGGTTTATGAAATTGACTATTCCGGCTAAAGAATATGTTGAATGACTAACATTCAAAACCTCAGGGAAAGTATGCAGTGGCACTAGCAAATTATGATACGAAGGACACTCGATGAAAAGGTGTTCATGAAATTCAACAAATTGATGAACATATGCATGACCTTGTATTTCACATTCTGGAACGTTATATTCGATAGTTTGGAAAGTTGTAAGTAAAACAGACAAAAAATCATTATAAGTATATTGGAACATTGCATCGATGTTTATTTTGATCATGGTTTCACTAATAGTTATACTGCCACATGCAGGACAATTGATATAGGCTGTATAACTTGGTAGCGATTGAAATATTTCTGTGCATAAATTTACTACATTCATGGCTGCATTCAAGACGATATAATTTTCATCTGAATTTTTGATATCAAGAAAAAATTCTCTGTATTCCAAAAAAATGTTCAATCTTTTTTCATAAATAACAAAACATTTATTTTGTTTCTTATTTCATAAGAAACAAAATAAATCATAATCAACTTCAGACTAGTTAAAAACCCCACAACATTCATTAAGTTAAATTTTCACACAACGTTACATTTTCTTCAAAATGGAAATGAGAGTGGAGTATCCACACTTTTTACCTGAAATTGAAGAAAACACTCCCCAAAAGTGACTAATGATTCATTCGAAAGTATCAAAATGACCGAGAGATAAGACACCGAGTCTTACGTTTGAATTAATTTTTAGAGATACAGCGCATTATAAAAAAAAAGAAAGATCTTGAAATGGGAAATGGATACAGTGGTCAAAAGGGTCAAAATCTGTTATTTAACAATCATGAATAATTTTGGTTAGAGAGATTATTGTTTGAAAAAATACTTGTAGAGATAATGATAAATTGATTTTTCACATACTTTAGAATTCACTTGATGATTTATAAATGATGAATCAGACTTTCCTTCTAAAAATTCGAATGCATTCTCCCTCGTTATTTTCAGTGACTCACGTAGTTTGAATATACCACTTTATATATGAGAGTTTTTATCATTTAATATATATGTATATTTTCTTTCTCTCGCAGTTTATCAGGAATCATGTTTTATCCTATCGGACGACAAGAAATCAACGACACTTCATTTTTTTGTTTTATTCTCTTCAATGGGTTATATGGAACGAGATCAAGATTTTCCAAAATTTTAATGTATGATCCCCACCTTATTACTTCATTCATCAATCGTTTTCCTATGCATCAAGTTAGTTTCATAAACTTGATTTTTTGAATTTACAAGACCATTCTCGTTAATTATAATATTATTCAATAAATAGCTGATATTCATCCAAAATGCTGTACCANTAATGGTAATGACAAATTTTTGTTTGAAACATCATAAGTAATTACTAGGATCACGAATCTATTGATTAAATGATGACGTATGTTTCTGACAATTTATCGGGACACAGAGGAGAAAAAAAGTTGAGAATACAGGCGTCGCTATTTGGATTACTCATAATTTATAAAAACCATGCGAAATACTGTAAAAGAATGATGTTTTCTTATGAAATTTGAAGATCATATGAATAAATGATGGAATGGATTTTTTCGCGAACACTGAATTTTTATTGGACTAGACTCTGACGAGATTGCAACAGTCTTAGCATTTGTTCAATTATTTAGGTTCTTCATAATAAGGAAAATTTCAAAGTCGACAATTCTACTACAATGATAAGAGGAATTGGCCCAGAAATTATTGGTGAAACCCATAATGGGTCAGATTCATTTACATTCACCCGTATTTGTCGCACTGAAACTAAGGAGTAAGTGATCGCCACTGATTTTTTATGTGTGGAATTGGAATTTCTCCCATTCGGAAGCTTATTACCAATGTAATTGGTAAAGAGGAAAAAAAAGCATCGAGTAACGGTCACACGACTTCTGTCAAATAGGCTTCTCCCCCTGCTTGTTTTTAACTTTACGGGAAGATAATGTGTTGTAAATGCAAAATACGTATCAGTCAATTGCGTTTAGTAGATTTGGAAGTGAAAAAATATAATAAAATTCAAATAATAAAAACATATCTCTCAACAGAGAAAAGAGAAAATAAAAATTAAAAAACCAGAAGAAAACAAAGATATAAACGAAATTAAAAAAATCCTCCCGAAAGCCAAATTCAACATTTCCATTTTCAAAACTAGAATTTCTTATAAAAAATAATAATAAATAACATCGCGCGATTCGGCGAATACTGCGCTCGTGTTCCACTCTCCGACTCAATTCTTCATATTAAATCACTTATTTTCCTCCAACCTCCTTCACCCTTTCTTGACTCTCACGCCACCCTCAATTCTACTGTAACTCTCGCTCTCTCGTTAAAATCGGTAAAGAAAAAAGAAAAACATTACATAAGAGAGGAACAGAATTCTTAGAAGATTATGATGACGAGTTGATTTGTGCCGATCGATAAATTATATACAAACACAAAAAAACACAAAACAGAACGGCATTTACGCAGTGAAATGAACCACGTTGATAATATTTATTTAAATTCAAACATTGCTGTCCCAAAATCATCGAAATTGATTCGTCATGGATTTTAAACTTACGTCTACGTGAACTTGGATTAGCAGCGTTGTCAATTGGCGAAATGTTTTGGTGGTCAAAATTACTCTTGGGACTGAAAAACAGCAATTAAATTGGAAAGCTATATTTAATGGAGCCGTATTTGAAGAATTATATTTACGTTTGAACAGGTTGAAATGTGTCTCTAGCAAACTCCATTTGTTTCATGAATTTCGAAGGTTTTCCCTGATTTGGCCCAGCTGCACCACTTTTTTTCGTAGATTTTTCCTCACCCAGTTTTCTACTATACGAAGCTCGTCATGTCTTCCATTTATTCTTCACTGATTCGATTGTAAGGAAATGCTCCGAAAATTTTGCTAAATTAACATTTCTTTGAATATAATCCTCAAGTAATGACTAAGTAATAGATGTAATAAGCAATTAACATAGAAAATTTCGGCTTACAAATTTGAATTTTCTTCCGAACGATCTCCCAGTCCTTTCTAATTGCATCTCTATTCCGTTCTGCCATGCTCAGTTTGTGATTCCATAGAATAGGATATTTCTCGACCTCGGATATGAGAAACTCAGCAGCACCATCATTATCATCATCAATGATTTTGCTTTTTCCTTTAGCCCTCGTCTTTTTTACGTGTGAAACTAAAGTAGCTGATTGAGCGGTCGTCTCACAATCAGAATCTGGAGATTCTGATTGAGAGACCTGAGACCTTTTTCTTTGCTCATCTTCGACATGAAGTTCATCTTGAATTTCGATGTTTCCTTGAAAGTCAGAAGATATAACAGTACCATCCTCTGTAATAAATGAACCAAAAATTATCGTTTTGATTGCTATGGAAATCACTGGCTGCTATCCTCGTAGGGATTTACCTGTGCAAGCATAAACTAATCCTTCTGATGTGATAAAGAGGTACTCATATTCATTGAAACACTGATACTCAGTCAAATTTTGTGGTTGACAAGTTAATGTTTCTGAACAGATGGTACACGTTCGGTGCTACAGGAGTATTATAATTAATAAAAATGTGTAGAATACGGTTCATTCCGTTGATAACAACACAATACAAACAAATATTAACAAAGAAGTAAGTATCTATAACTTTCAATTTTCGGCTTACCACACATGTCTCATTATCAGCCATATTTATTTATTAACAATAAAATATATCGCCAAAGTCATTCACAATGATCACAATCAATATAATGGTACACTGCGTATGGATCCATTTGTCGAACTAAAAAAAAATACAAAATCCACGATGGATTACTCAAGCGAGGTTATGTTTTTGTTTGGAATTTAAATGTTTCGGTGACGAGTAGTGGGATTTCGAATCGACCAATCAGCGCTCGAGATTCCCAATCTTCGGAATCCATGAATCCACCGTGAGAACGCAGCCTGAGAAGTAGCCCCGTGTACTTTTTGATCAAATTTTCTTTACGCAGATCAGACTTTCCCATGATCACGTCAAATTCACTAGTAATTCGGTTGTGATACTCAACTAGGGCCCTGACAAAAGTCCAGGGTTGAGGATGGGGGTCTGGGAAGAATGCATTCATTAATCGGTTGCCGGTTCCGGAGAAATTATTTGTCTTATGCGGTTCATTTGAAACATTCCAAATTTAAGGACGATTCTTTTTGGATAGTCAATTCTTCTTGAAATAACCCAGATAAGGACCCGGTTTCTTTTTAGCCTTGTTACTCCTGTCTCTCATAATTCTCTTCAGCAATTCCTGATCTGCTTTCAACTGAAGTGGCAACAGTGGCATTCCCATTATGAACTTTAGTGTTGTCTTTATTTCTTGTAAAATTTCATCCTCTTTTTGTTTTTCAAATTTTTCGGCCTCAGATAATTTCTTTTCCTTCAACATCTTGGTCCTTCCCAAAGTTCCACGTTGACGGAGATTTCGCCACTGGATTTGATCAAAATGAAAAAAGCACGGGACAAATTGTACCGCTGGTAGTACTCGTCGCCAACCTTCAATCTCGCCGGACTCAAAATCTAGGTGCACGTTAACGGGAAACTTGAGTAATACAGGAGCAAATTTTTCCACGATACATTTTATCATACTCCCGAGTGGAAATTCTGTTCAGGTCTTGATCAGAAACTGATCAAGTCCGATCCGAAATTCTAATCAGGCGTGTTACGCCTCTGCCTTAGGTTTTTCCACTAGGGTTTCTCCGCTTTCCATCATTAGGCGTTAATTAAATTTAATTTTTTGAGAGAAAAAATTAGTAACTTCCTAGCCGGGAATCGAACCCGGGACCTCCCAACGTCGCGTCGGGTGCTCTTACTTTTTTTTTTCTTTTAACAAAGTTTTTATTCAAGTTACGTCATTATTTACATATATACAGTATATACATTTATAAAAACTAGTTTAGAAAAAATTATTGCACGGTATAATACATGGTTTTTAAACTTTTATTCACATAGTGACCCTCGAGTTTATTCTATATATGTTATTCTTGTTTTATCTGTGATTTTTTGTTCCTTTTAACATTTTTCAATGTATTCGATAGTTTTTTTTTGTGCTTAAAAAAAATAAATTTTTTTTTGCGTAGTGCATATGAAATGCACTTCAGTATTTGCTTAAAAAAACAAACGAGGGGATTTGCAATTTTATAATTACAAGTTTATACCATTCTTATTCTAGTATGGTTTCGTATTACTAGTGATTACTGTTTCTTTTCAGTATCACCATATATATACATATATATATATATATATATATATATATATATATATATATATATATANTATATATATATATATATATATATGTACATATACTCATACATATATACATTTTTTTTTATTATTCATATTTGTTTTTCGCTATCTGCGATTTCATTATCTTTATTTTCATTTATCTATTTATTTATTTTATTTTATTTTTTTATTTTTTTATGGAGGACGGAAATTATGCTGAGCGCGTCTATTTTGTGCTCTATTGATCCTTACTTCTTTATATATTTTTTCGCGATATTTCAATTCCGTTATATATCTGTCATTGTCAAATATCATTGTCATATTAATTCAACGTTTTCTATATCATCGATAGGGATTTTTTTGTTTTTTTTTGTGTCTTTTAATATGGTATAATATGGGCTGATTCCATTCATTTTGGAACAGACCCATCTTATCATACTGAACGAAGTATTGGAGCTTGACATTTCCGCATCTGGCTCTGCCAATAGCCTCCTCCGCTGGGAAATCAGCCAGTGCAATTATTGTATTATATTTGATATTTTTTATTTTATTGAAATAGTTCCTTGTTAATTTCAATATAGTAGAGGTATAGGGCCGGTTCTGGCCCAACCATTTTGGGAAGGGTCCGGAGGTGACCCGCGAATGGGTGGTGGGATGGGATTAATTAATTCGCGGTTTCAATTCGCGGTTTTAATTCGCGGATTTCACTTTTCGTCGATTCGGGGGTCAAGAGCTATGGGAGAGTCCCCATGAGTGGATGGTGGGGAGGTGGGGTATATTAATTCGCGTTTTAATTCGCGTTTCAATTCGCGGTTTTAATTCGCGATTTATTTCGCGGTTTTAATTCGCGGTTTAGTTCACGGTTTTGATTCGCGGTTTTGATTCCCGGTTTTAATTCGCGGCTTTAATTCGCGGTTTAGTTCGCGCTTTTGATTCACGGTTGTAATTCGCGGCTTTAATTCGCGGTTTTGATTCGCGGTTTTATTTCGCGGATTTCACGTTTCGTCGATTGGGAGAAGGGCTTTTAACATTCTTGAGATTGTAACAAAGATAAGAAGGGTTAAGTGCAAAAGGTCATAAATCATTTTTTTTACAATTCCTGGAAAAGAGAAAGTGTCACATTCCTTAAATTCCTGAGATAAGAAGAATGAGTCATCACAGCAGGTAAGGGTTTTAATTCGCGGATTTCACGTTTCGTCAATTGGGCGGAGGGGGGCTTTTAACATTCTTGAGATTGTATCAGAGATAAGAAGGGGTAAGTGCAAAAGGTCATAAATCATTTTTTTTTTTACAATTCCTAGAAAAAAGAAAGTGTGACATTCCTTGAATTCCTGAGATAAGAAGAATGAGTCATCACAGCAAGGGTTAAGTGCAAAAGGAAATAAATCATTTTTTTTGTACAATTCCTGGAAAAGAGAAAGTGTGACATTCCTTAAATTCCTGAGATAACAAGAATGAGTCATCACAGCAGAGCAATTCCAGGAAATGTTGAGAAAACATTTTATGCAGGGTTGAGGAAAACTTTCACTTTTTTAAAAGATCACCCCGGCCCCTTCAATCTATGAGAAAAAAAGGAGTGGGGGGGGAGGATTATATAACACTCCAAGGTCAAGGGCACAGCATCAGTATTTTTCCCCCCGCCTCATGAAGAAGTACTTCATTTGACGACCACAAGCTTTGAACAAAACTCGTCAGTTGAAACATAGACTTGAGCGTCTGCTGAAAGATATCGACCAATTGAAGAGAATCATTCAATTGAAAAGTGACATTGAAGTGTTGTGCTCAGATCTCCAGAAGACCAACATCGTAAAACCAGAAGCATGAACTTTGAAAAATTCAACAGTGTCTCGAAGAGGGAGAATCTTCCTCTGAAGAAAATGGCAGAGTTGGAGCCAGAAAAAATCTACGCCATCACAGCCGTTCAGAAGGCAAAAACGAAATTCGGGGAAAGTGTGATTTTCCATTTGGATGGAGAGCATGCAGTCTTCGCGACAAAAAGAGCAGCCAATTATTTCAATACTGAACCGGAGGAATGGGAAAATTTCCAGATACTTGTTTCGGAGGGTAAAATGGAGCTGAAGTTCTTGGGTGGTCCATACAACGATTTCATTCTAGGCCAGTTCTTGAAACCAACTGAGGAGGCGTAGGAAGCTTTTTGGAAGATAAAGGAAAAAACAATATTTTCATTTTATTTTTTTATTGATGAAATTTTTCAAAATTACCATGTATTAGTTTCTAAGAGAATACATAAATAAATATTATTAAAAAAAAACAGTGCTTTTCTAATTTTAAAATTCATGACATTCATCACAATCTCTTATCATCGGAGTCGGCCCATCAAACGTATCTCCTTCAGTAGTTTTATAATGCTCTGAACATCTTCTGCATCTTTTGATGTACCAATCATTTCTCATCATATCAGTCAACTTGTCCCAAGCCTGCTCAACATCGGATGCGGCGATTGAGCTTATGAATGAATGCGGGAGATATGCAATATCCTCACGATCCATTAAACTTAAATTTTTTAATTCATAATAAATGTCCAGGGATCGATCAACCGATCGTACAGTCTTTGTTCTCATCATCATCCAGTTTTTGAGTAGTTGCACATTTTTTACAGCACATGCCTTGTTCTCTGTGTAACGATGAAAATGACAGATGGGGGCTAGTAATTCCGTGAACTTAGAGAGTGACGGGCAATCATCGTAACATTCTTCGATATTAACCACCGGAGGTGCCGGTCCAACCATTTTTTGCAGCCATTTTTTCTTATCTTCACCTTTCACATAAATTTTATCAATATTGTCCCACTCTCGAACAAATCTTTCAAGGTCATTATAGGGTTTATTCCCATAGTTCCAAGGTAATCCATGATGATTAAGCTCAAGCCACTCATTCACACCTCTATACTTCGCCGGTAAACTGGAGAACGCATAAGGAGGGCGAAAAAACCACGCTGCTGGGCATTTGACTCCCGGATCCNCATACTTCGCTGGTAAACTGGAGAATGCATAAGGAGGGCGGAATAACCACGCTGCTGGGCATTTGACTCCCGGATCCAATATTGCGTATGCGAATTCTTTTACAATAAACTCATTGAAGAGCGTTTGAAAACCTTGCACATCCACGAGAATATCCATTGCGACTGATGTTTTTAGGGCTCTAACATTTTAATTTATACATCCATCCCCTCCAATTTTAAACTATTTTTCTCACCCCACCACTTATAGGGTGATAATTTACTACTCTATCATGCAAAATGAGACAGTAAGCGGCCGTATCCTTGGGAATACTTAATCTTGTTTCAAATTCTAGACGAACATCTACTGGACCAAATTTCAAAGATTCATTTTGTTTAGAACAATCAATTACCACTAGCGGAGTAATTGTTGAAAATAGTGTTTTACTCAATAAAGGGTTGTTCACTTGTTGATCATAATATGACGATTGAAAATTTGAATACATGTCATAAAGTATAGAATACTGATTCTTACCCATATCTATATCTAAATTACCATACGGATAACATTGAGAGTTTAAGAATAATTTAACATCTGCTATATTACAATGATCAAAATTACTAGCATTTTTCTTATCACCATTGTTTCACGCTATTTGAAATCCTCGAATGACATAGCGAGGCTTTTCGAGCTGGGTTGCGGTTTTCACCGTCCACACATGTTTTGTCGTCTGGGGGAGCATTGGATACTCATACAACTCCCATGATCTGAAGCTTATCGGTATGGGCGGATCTTTTTGGATGAAATTAAGCAATTGAATTTTTTTAGTATCCGATAATGTTACATATGGGATTAACCACTCGATTTTACTCAAGGTGACTTTTACATCTTCTTTGTCTAATTGAACTATCGCATTATTATCTCTATGAGCTCTGATCAAAACAAGCTCATGTTTGACATTAATCATAATCTTCCGATAATCTTCAGCAAACCCCAATAGCATACTCAGTGGGACAGATACATCGAAGCGACCTCCATCANAGATGAAATTAAGCAATTGAATTTTTTTAGCATCAGATAATGTTACATATGGGCTTAACCACTCGATTTTATTCAAGGTGACTTTTACATCTTCTTTATCTAGTTGAACTATCGCATTATTATCTCTATGAGCTCTGATCAAAACAAGCTCATGTTTGACATTAATCATAATCTTCCGATAATCTTCAGCAAACCCCAATAGCATACTCAGTGGGACAGATANGGCTTTTCGAGCTGGGTTGCGGTTTTCACCGTCCACACATGTTTTGTCGTCTGGGGGAGCATTGGATACTCATACAACTCCCATGATCTGAAGCTTATCGGTATGGGCGGATCTTTTTGGATGAAATTAAGCAATTGAATTTTTTTAGTATCCGATAATGTTACATATGGGATTAACCACTCGATTTTACTCAAGGTGACTTTTACATCTTCTTTGTCTAATTGAACTATCGCATTATTATCTCTATGAGCTCTGATCAAAACAAGCTCATGTTTGACATTAACCATAATCTTTCGATAATCTTCAGCAAACCCCAATAGCATACTCAGTGGGATAGATACATCGAAGCGACCTCCATCATCAACTAAACTCAATTCCTCTTGCACACCTAACCATCCAGCATTTTCCATAGAATTGTTTTGATTCGGTGTCAATGAGATAAGATTTTTCATGAGTGTAGTGATGCCCACATTCTTGACTTTATCAATTTCAATAGCGTTAATTTCATAGCGGATCTCTTGAAATAGATGACATATGGCATTATTTACGAGAGTCGTCAAAGTCGCTTTAGTGTTATCAGCTTTCAGCAATTTACCAGTGATATGTAAATGACTTTTGCTTGGTAAAATGCAGAGATCTTGATTTTGCACAGTGATACGAATCTCATCACTATTATCAAGCCCTGTGGAAGCATATGGCTGATGTGCATGGATCTCATAATGGGCGATGGACTCCTCAAACACTGGTGGAATTTTTATATTCAGACTTTCTTCCATGGTATCCAACAAGAGAAAAATATTTTTATTTGGCAAAAACCCCTTTTCCACTTTTTTTCACGACGAGGCCGAGACTCTGGAGAAATTTGACGTTCTGAGGTGTTAACACCTTGAAGCCAACACGCGAACTGATTGAAGAGGGACATGACTGGTTATTTTTATAGGAATAGCCAATCTTTCGATTGTATACAATGCCCATGATTATGTAACAGGCTTGATATGTAGCCTGATAGTGATTGTCTCACCCCTGAAATTCACCAAACCACCGTTTTGATCAACAATTCGTAGCTGTAGTTCAGTTATTGTTCTTACAGAAACTGGTAAATAAATCACTTGTGATGGCACTTCTATAATTTTATAACCTGGGGGCACAACTGGAAAAAATTCATGTATTGTATGAACTTTATCACTATTGTTGTATGCTCCTGTAGTGATATTACATTCGACTCGTATGGCATTCACTTTAAGAATGGTTACAGGTTGATCAGATTCATGAGTTTTATTAGCTTCCAAAATTCTAGGAGTGAAGCCGAGAAGTCGACCTATCGAATCAGTAGGTCGCAAGTCCAAATTCTTATTACAAATTATTTCACTTCGTAAAGTATTATTATTGCTTTTGACATTTATAGTAATATCACTTTTTTCCACACTTTTTATCATAAATTTCGCAATATCATCTATTTCATAACTCCCCGTGGGGATAGTAATAACTGTATTCCCTATATGTAATTTGTTATTGCTGGTATCAACATTTGGTATAGAATTGAAAGTTAGAAGTTCCACTAGACCAAGAACATAATTTTTCTCAGGAGAAAGTTCAATTGGTGGAAAATATTGTACTTCCAATACTGACGATGTCCCTGAGACTGTCAACGTTAATGAATCGCTCATGATTTCTCGATATCAACTGATAGAAAAATCATCAATACTCCTCCTTATATAAGCGTCCAATGAGAAAGGCTAAACATAAATGTCCACAATTATATGTATTCCAGTCCTGAAAACGCTCGTGATTATATTTTATGCTACCAACTCCAAGGTAATTGAAAAGTTCTGTTGGAGGTTGTAGGTTCCCAAAACTATCGAAATAGGTAACATCATTCCCTATTTTTCTATATGCAACCCAATGAGTCCCAGGACCTTCTTTATCATCCAAATTAATAATGGCTGATTCATTTTTCAATGGTCCATTNGAACTCTCCGCAATTATATGTATTCCAGTCCTGAAAACGCTCGTTATTATATTTTATGCTACCAACTCCAAGGTAATTGAAAAGTTCTATTGGAGGTTGTAGGTTCCCAAAACTATCGAAATAGGTAACATCATTCCCTATTTTTCTATATGCAACCCAATGAGTCCCAGGACCTTCTTTATCATCCAAATTAATAATGGCTGATTCATTTTTCAATGGTCCATTTTTCGGTAATCCATTACGCATGAAAACACCGCGAAAATGCAGAATTTTCATGAGTTGTGCATATTTTTTGAGATCTCCGTCTGTTAGTGCCCTGCGTGGTAGCTTCATTAATAGTTTTTTGGCTTCAGGTATAAGCCCATGCCTTTTTTATAGGGTTTGAGATGTATACCTCGACCGAGTGCAATAGCCTCCATTGCTTCATTATGCCTTTTACTTTCCACGAGTTGTTGTTTGGCAGCTTTGGCGCTATTAACAGCTTTAGCGATTCCAGCTGCACCGCCAGCCAAAGCCCCCGTGGCGCTTAGACCTGCAAATAGCGGTACGAGAAAAGGCAAAATTCCCCCAACTCTCGAAGGGACAGGTATCACTCGGGGAATACTAACCCGACCTCTCCCTCCATTCTGCTTTACGGCTACTTTAGCACCACTAAGAGCCGTTTTGATAGCATCAGCTGAGCCATTATTTAATTTAATCGACTTTTTAGCAGCTCGAAGGATCGCCCCAAATGTAACCTTTTTCTTGGACTTTCCCCTCCTCCTCTTCACCCCTAAACCTGATTTCTTTACACCCGTGCCTGATTTCTTCACCCCCAAACTTGATTTCCTCACACTTAAACTTGATTTCTTCACTTTCGAACTTGATTTTCTCACGCCTAAACTNTAGGTTTCACTCGGGGAATACTAACCCGACCTCTCCCTCCATTCTGCTTTACGGCTACTTTAGCACCACTAAGAGCCGTTTTGATAGCATCAGCTGAGCCATTATTTAATTTAATCGACTTTTTAGCAGCTCGAAGGATCGCCCCAAATGTAACCTTTTTCTTGGACTTTCCCCTCCTCCTCTTCACCCCTAAACCTGATTTCTTTACACCCGTGCCTGATTTCTTCACCCCCAAACTTGATTTCCTCACACTTAAACTTGATTTCTTCACTTTCGAACTTGATTTTCTCACGCCTAAACTTGATTTGCTCACTCTCGAACCTGATTTTCTTACACCCATACCTAATTTCGTTTTGGCCTTCATCACGTTTGTTACAAATAAAGCTGCCGCTTTTTCTCCTAGAGTAGCGTCTGGGGCTGAAACACGTCGCCAAGCTTTTTCTGCAAGCACCTGATCAGCCTCGTGTCGCACTGCAATGTTTTCACGATTTTTCGAATATGCAATGTCATGAACCTTACAGGCTGAGTCGAGAGGATTGATCCCAGGATCTCCACGAGCTAATCTTTTCCCTAACTTGGTACCTGGCCCACAATACTGATAACCTGGCAGATGCAATTCGACGGGGAGTTTGTTAATTATTTTATTCATTAAACCTTTACCCTTCTTGCGAGTACTGTGCACAATCATGTCTGTAATGGAACTGAGCGATTTTGCTATAAAACCCTCAATTTATAGGTTTTCTCTTCAGTTGACATAAAGATGGAGTTCAGTACACATCCCAGCAGTTTACCAGTCATTAACTTTGATTCAGTGACTGTGAAAGATATTAATCAACCAAAACGTCATGGTTCACTGTTACCAAATACTATTCGCGCTGTTTTCTGTGGCCCATCAAATTGTGGGAAAACTAATGCTTTACTGAGTCTCATAATTCATCCCAATGGCTTGAGATTTTCGAATATTTATGTATATTCAAAGTCTCTCAATCAACCGAAATATCAATTTTTACAAAATTTACTGGAACCTCTGAATGACTTGAATTATTTTCCATTCTCAGATAATGAAGAGGTGGTGGCGGTGGATAAGGCGAATGAGAATTCACTGTTTATTTTCGATGATGTTGCTTGCGAGAAACAAAATAACATTAAGGCATATTTTTGTATGGGGAGACATAAAAAAGTTGACAGTTTTTATTTATGTCAATCATATGCTCGCATACCAAAGCATTTAGTGCGTGATAATGTTAATTTTTTGGTCTTATTTAAACAGGATGAAATGAATTTGAGACATGTTTATAACGATCATGTAAATACAGATATGTCATTTGACAAATTCAAACAATTATGTTCAGCATGTTGGAAAAATAATTATTCGTTTTTAGTTATCGATAAAGATAGTGACGTTAATGAGGGTCGATATAGGAGAAATTTCGATTGTTTTGTTCAGATAAATAATGTTGGTGAGAGTAAAATATAAACAGTTGTGGAGTAGATCCCAGTGAGTCAACATGCCTCCACGCAAGGATGAAATGTCTCAGCAGCAAGAAATTTTACGTCAGATTTCTTCCGCAAGGAAAGCAATTCAACGGAAACATAACCTATTGAAATTGAATAGAGAGAGTGTCGACGAGGCAATGAATCAAATATTCAAACCTGTTGTGAGACCACTTGAGGAATTGACCATTAAATCATCTAAAGATGATGGTGAAAAAAATGAGTGGTTTAATTTAAAAAATGAGGTGAAGCCTTCTGATTTCAAACTTCGACAAAGTTTTGCGTATAAGAGTACCCCGAAGGAACTCAAACAAAATGCGTGGGATGGGGAGAGCTCTTCAGATGTCAATAAATTCGATGATTCTTTATTGAATCAAACATTGAATGAGACAATAATTTCACCTTTAGAAACATCTCATGATGATACTATAGTTCCATCTCTCAAAAATCGTCGAGATGATACTATGGTTTCAGGCATGCAAAAATCACTGTTTGACGCGGAAGAGACCGATGATGACGCAAATATTTTCGATCCTGACACTCTTGTAGGAAAATATTTAGCGGGAATCGGTACATCCAAATGGGATAAGGCTTATGGTGTTCGAAAACTAACGCGTAATTTCATGATTGGAGACTCCCCAATATATTTTGAGGCTGAGTTTATTAAAGTGAAAACCATGAAATACGCCTGTACTGAAGGATTACTCGAACTCCTCTTCATGAAAAACCCTAATGACACTTTGATTAGTGAGAGTGATATTAGTGCATATAAAAATATTATTCTTGCCACTAATGGGCATCAGAAAAATTATAAATATCGTGGAGGTATCCGAGAGGCAAAGGGTGAGAAATATGACAGATATATTTCACGGTTTGTCGGGTCAAAGTACGCCGGCACAGGGCTTCTACCTGCTTTTATGAGAGCTCGGAGACCCAACACGGTGGATTATATCTATTGGGACGATCCGAATGAACTTGTTGACCGCCTGCGATTACTCGTAGCTTCACAAGGAGCAGGAAATCCAAGTCACGATAATGAAATTATTTCAATTATCGAAGAACTTCGAGAGGCTGGAATTATATATTAGACTATGCACATTATCAATCGTTATCATTTGCGAAATGAGTGTTGATGTGTTCGGTCGTCACTTAATATCCGATAGTGGTTCCTACAGTCGAGGTCCACCCGGAGTTGGATATCAACTCACTGCAGAGGGTAATTATGACCTGCGTGATAAAAGATTGAGTAATGTTGCTACAGCAGTGGACCTACACGATGCCGTAACACTGGAGACTCTGAATATAAAAATCAGTGAATTGCAAATTGAAACGAAACGGAAATTCGCAGATATTAATAAGCGAATTGGCAGATTGATGAGATTAGTGGAAAAAATACCTAGTGAACCCAAAAATGCCACAAAGTAAATTGGATATTGTCACAGAATTGCATCGCCCTGCACGGAGAAATTATCCTCGACGGCGAGTGAATATTCGTGATTTGGATGAGACGTGGCAGGCCGATTTAGTCGACATGACGGCTTACGCAAAAAGCAATAATGGAAATAGATTTTTGCTCACTGTAATAGACAATTTTTCAAAGTTTGCATGGGCGGAGCCGATAAAGAGGAAAAACGCGCAAGATGTCACGAGAGCTATGAGTTCCATTTTCCAACGAGGGCGTGTACCCAAACATTTACACGTTGATGGTGGAAAAGAATTCTACAATTCTGAGTTTCAAGCATTGATGAAGAAATATAATATTAATTTATACTCTACCTTTAGTAATTTAAAGGCGTCTATATGTGAAAGATTCAATCGAACATTAAAAAGTAAAATGTGGCTACAGTTTAGTTTGCGAGGAAA